TTACTCACTCCGTGAAATATTATGATGACGGCCATGTGAAACCAGCTGGCTGAATAAATCATATATTGTTCTGGTTAGTCGGTACGCGTTGAAGACTTGTAGGAAAGACCCAAAGACCTCGGGGTCTCATTTACTCTCCATTTCTGTTTTACTCCTTGTCTAATTGTAGGCTACATATTTATTTGCCACCTTAATTCGACCTGCAGCAAAAACCTGCAGGTGTGGCTCAACAAATCATTCAAGTTAAGTACGAACAATGACTTTATGTTGAGGGTGAACAATTCAAATCTTGGAAAGAGGACCGACTCTGTTTACAAAAACTACTGTGAGGTTGTAGATATGTGAGAGGAAGAAGCTGTGATTCCTCTATTTGGGGATGTTTTTACTTTTTGAGAAAATCCATTGAACCTTTTTCACATCTGCCATTTTTATATCAGCGACACGAAATGAGTCATGATTCATAAAACCGACTAAATAAACATGACAAGCACAAAATGGGAGACGTGAGATGATGACATGCTCCAGATATTAAAAGCATTTGGCAGGCGTTTCAGCAAATCGCTGACAGATTGTCGGTGAAAGGAAGAGTCATTGCAGATAAGCATGTCAGTGATACAAGCTTTTGGATCAATTCAACATCATTAGTCGCTGTCGAGTGATGTGACAGGTTTAAAGTGGACATACCGGCACCAAACTGGCACGTGTGAATTCTGCAGAAGCTGAAAACTTGTATGAATTAGGTGTAAATATTTTCACAAAAACAATGAATGTCTAAATGGAATAGCATCCTAATCATCATCAAACAGATTATTTACGACCCATAGAAATGTAATGGTTGCTACCAAACTATAAATGCTAACCTGTGGTTCTCTAGAGGAAAAATCAGGGATCAACAAAGTTGTTAGAAAAGACTAAGTTTGTGCCATTTGATCTTGAAGTATTTCACTTAATATCCATGACAATATTGATTTACCTGTGGTGCTCCAACATCTGATTCCCAAGGGGAACATGAAGGTTTCATAACAATCCAGCCAATAGCTGTGAGACATTTCCCTCAAAACCACAGAGGAAAGTTGGGGGAACACCAAAGAAATTAGGATCCATGGTATCGGAACCAAGAATGTCATCACTTGGATTTATCCTCTGGGCACCAAACATGTTTGAATAAAATTTCAGGGTAATCCATCTAATAGTTTTTGACATATCCCAGTCTAGACTAAAGCAGCGGACTGAGTGATCCACCAACAAACAGGCATTTCAGACCCTGGAGCCAGGCCTCAGCTTTGGCTCAGAAAATACCCAGTGCACTGGACTGTGGTGGCCTTTTTGTAGTTTTTGTCTTTTGAAAATATATTCAAATAAATCAAGATTTCCCACTGAACACAGGCCCATAGATGAAGCACAGCTGCAAACAATCTTTGTTCTCCTGCAGAAAATATGTTTTTTAAAAAATTACAAAGCCAACAACCGTGCAACCAAAGTGGTAAAATTCAAAACCTGACCATAAAAGACAGTCAAAACCTAAAATTAGTGTCCAGTCAATGAAAACTGTGTATGTGGATATTAGAGATTTAATAGGAAAATGTCTGTAAGGTTTCCTCAGTCGTGGACACCGGGGAGTTTGAGTTAAAATTCCTGGTTACACATACTTTACCTTCAGGCTCAGGGAACTGCTTGTTCCCAGGGAAGGAAATACTGGTGAGTTTGTGTTTGGTAAGAACATGCAGATCTTTTCTTGACCTTCAGTCTAAATAAGTTTTCCATCTGGCAGCGGCAGAAGAGGGACTGAATGAGACGCTCACATTTAAACAGATGTCAGCTCTTCAGCGGGTCCATTTACACCATCCTACGTGCAGACGTACTGTACCGCTATTTATTTTTGTGTAAAATAAATACTCAAAGCCAATAAACTAGAAATGCTGACAAATCTCATGAGCTTCCAAATCAAATTAAATGTCTGGTAATGATGGAAACTTATCGACTCGATCCCAAAGTCGACCTCATCATGTTCCTGCTCCATTGAAAACTATTCTAAAATGTGTGTACAATTTAAAATTCAATCAACTATATCTGGAACTGTACAAAGTCAAAAGTTGCTGCTGAACTAAATACTGCAGTTCAAGTTGCACAACTCCATAGAAAGGGTAAGAGCAGAAGAAAAAAACATTAGCTCAGACATAAAAACAGGAGGAACGCTACGGGCTGAATAATATCCCCAAAGCTCCAATTATCATATTGACCTCGCGGTATCCTGAGCGCGCTACACTTTCACTGCTGAGAACTCTTTAACAGGCAGGCTCGGGCCTGTTAAATCTAGGTGCACTGCACGAAAAAGGAAACAGAAATTCAAACTGTGGACTGCGCCCCAGCGAGTGAACGTCATCCTAAGGTAAGCAGTGGGAGTAGCAGGAAAATCCTCAGAGGTGAAAGCTGTTCATCTCACATCTTTTGGAGAATTTACACCCGATTAAACCCCGAACGTCATCTCGTATTGTGTTGTTGGTGAATGAGTTTAGCAGCGACGTCTGGCTCGGAGCTGAGAGTGGCTGGAAAAAATATATCGACTCCACAGAATGACTTATCTGTCTCTGAAGTTCTTATGAGGGAGATCTGTTTACACTTCAACATGAATGGAGGAATTTTTTTAACACACACGCACACACACACACACACACACACACACACACACACACACACACCCAATAAGTCTGAAACCGAGCAGCAGCCACTCAGCCCTGTGGGTCCTTCAGGACCAAGTGTGTGTACACAAACTGACTTCAGTCCATCCTCCCCCCTCCCCCCCTTGCTCCACTGAAGTGCCGCTACCTTGTTCTACATTTGAACTCGTCCGCTGTATCTGGCAGGACTGTAAAGTGTATTGGGCCGTTGTAAATGTACTGTAAAATGACTTCTCTCTCTCTCTCCAGTCCTTAACAACCCTGTTATGTTACGGAGGAAGAATGTGTGGAAAGAAGAGTTTAAATCAGGGGCATCTCTTTTCCCCAGAAAAAACATTAGCAGAGAAAATACAATAATTTCAGCTTCAAAGCCAAACACACAAGCAAGAGAGCTGCTGCTTAATCACAATAATGGATGTGAACAAGCTTTTTGTTCCTGCTGTTAACACATGTTTACCTCTTACATTGGAATTCAAAGTGTATTCCCTGAACAGTAAACGTACCCAATTTATTTTATTTTGATGTTGTGCATCACAAGTAAGGCCTACTGTTAGCAGCACAACCTATTAGAATAAACACAACTGGCAAAAATAAAGAGAAGTGAAGATGGAAATTAAACCGAAAAATCCAGAATGAAAAATCACACTGGAGACGTGTTGTTAATTTTGTAAGGGTGAAATAAACAACATTGACAAACTCTTTCATTAACAAACAGCAAAGGACCAGTGCGTCAGCGTCGGATGAATCAGTTACAAAGTAATCAATCAATTAGGGTTTTGAGATATTACGACGTCTTGTGTGACAACAGAAAAACATCTATTGCAAATTACTTTTTACGGCAATATTTCTTTGTCTTTGGGACAGTTCTCTGTGTTCTTCAACACAATACAGATGCAGCCCAGAAACTTCAAGGCAACACAAGGAGACTGAACATGACACAGAATGAACTAATTCTGAACAGAGGGACAAAACGAAGAGTCCGCGTTCAAACGAGGAGCAACTTCTGTCGTACAGACGTCGTTTGAGTGGGACTCACACACCATTAACCTCTTTTACAATCTACTCTACAACCTAAAAGAATGTCGAACAGTACGTGGACGAGAGCCACGAAAGGAAACAAACTCCAAACTCAGTTGTTGAAAGAGGCTTTTGCCGGCAGTGCATCATATTGCAAAGCATCACATCAGCGAAAACATGGCAACGTCATAGTCTGTGTTATTCCGATGCACCACCCAGCAAGATTAAGTTATTCACTTTGACGATGCTTCGGAGGCACCCGTCACAGTCAGACCCTATGTCACCTGCTACTCTTTTCAACTCACTACGACTTCCTGTGCTTGAACTATTCTTCTGTGGCTTTCCTACGTGAGAGTGCAAAGAGGAACACCGCACTGAAAGAGAGCCGGGCAGAAGGTAGGAAAGCTAAAGACGTCTCTCTGCCCTCTAGCTCAGTTAAAGAAGTTCAGTCACCTAAGACACAGCTGAGGGGAGGAGACAGTGAATGAAGGAGGCTGGATGTGGTCAATTCTGCTACCGAAAAAAAACCCCACAGCACCGCAGGTCAGTGCGGCTAAACCCCTGCTCTGAGTTTGTTCATCTGATTTGCAAAAGTTTGCTTTGGCCTCCAGATTGCAGAGTACAAAAAAACGATTTTCACCTGACTCTGAGGTTGTTTGGTCCGGGACCTCTGGACTTTTTCACTTTAGTCCAAACCAAAATAACGGGGGTGAAAGATGCCAGAACAACGGACCAGAAGAGTCTCTCGGTCCAGATCTAACTCAACCGTGGTTCGGCTCTTTAGCAGTGGGAAAACACTTTTTGAAAGTTGGGATGTTCATTTTTGGCTGTTAGTAAAACCAGAATGATATCACCGATGCCAGACGCACGCCCACCTACACCAATCATCAGTACAATCAGACAAAGCTCACACGAGGATTTTCATTGATAATACAAAAATTCTTAAGCGCGCTTTTTAAATTACAATGTGAAATCAAAACTAACCAAATCACTTATTTACTGACTCAACCCAATAAACTGAACTTTCAATTATTTCACAACAACATCGCCCTCATATCTTTCTATATCGTATGTTTTTATGTTGTCGATGTTCTTCGAGGTTGTAGACGTGGCGGTGGAGATAATATTCTTCTTCCTTGTTAACAGACAATAAAGTGCCATCTCCTCTTATCTTTACAGCGTGGCTAAAGCAGACGGAGCTGGACCCAGAGGGGAAAGATCACAATACCAATTCACCTCACGGAGTTCTAAAATTCTGAGTTATACATCCACATTGAAACGGAAGAATAGAAAAGCCGGACTCACCATTGAGGAAAAGCTCTTCCTGCAGTGACTCTCTGGCACCAGTAGAGAAACAGCGTCTCCTCAGCCACTCTGAGTCGAACACACTGGTGTGCCGGTCCGGCCACACAACCGACACCTGAGAGACCAAAAACATACATTACACCAACATTATTTTATATACAGTATCTTAAAGTCATTGTCTTTGTTGTTTTTTCCACACACATTTTTCTACATACTGTACTACTGCTACTCAACACTACCAGTGAAAGGTCTGTACTCGTAGGAGCAGATATAGTTGAGATATATATATTCTAATTAAATGTAATTGTGAGAGAGCAGCTTTGCTTCAGTTTCTATAAACAAATGTATATGATTTGATGCAGGAGGCTCCAAAATAATGTTCTTTTAGACTAAAACCTTGTTCACATATTTCAGATTATTTAAAATGAATATAATTGTTTCACCTGGTTCAGAGCTTCGATCTCATGATGCAACATGTTTGTTTGACATATTTCAATTTTTATTTAAAATAGCAAAAGCCCAAACAGGTTACTTGTAAATGAAAGGTGAAACTTATTCTTACAATTAATTTCAATTACACAACCACAGCTCCACAGCGGGAGGTTACTTCTGTGCCATAAGTATTTGGACAACATGCACAGCATGTATGGATAGTGATTTAAACATTTATTCTTTTCTCTTAATACAGAACAATTGGATGTATAGGAGACAAAAATCAGATATATGGCAGCAACATACCTTGTTGTCATTGATGACCTCTACAGAGTCAATCCCTGTGTGGATATCCAGATCACACATCAGCAGCTGCCTGGCCTGAGCTGACTGCAGCGTACACAGTGGACACTGGCAGTTGTCTCTCAGCCAGGTGAATGGGTACAGACTGGTGCCTCCATCATCCCACTCCACCTCCACCATCCGCGCCTCTTCCAGAGCCCGGGCGTGCCTCACAGACTGGCTCGCCACAGGGACAGAGGTGGACACCAGGGTCTTCTGCCCACGAAGCTGCGCTGAAGTCAGACAAGAGGGCAGCGGATCTGCAACCTGCCCCGGTCTACGACCAGCCCTCAGAGCCTGGCAGGCCACGGCAGAGGTGCGACTCCGCAGGGCCGGCAGGGCGAAACGCGCAAATGTGCTCATCCACATTTCTGACGGGTTACCACCGGGCACCGATGTGCAAGAGCAGAACGTGCCACAGATGCTGTAGATAATGAGAGAAAAAGAAAGTTAAATAGAGAATCATAAACTTTCCCCTTTCCGATGATGTGTTTCCAAACCAGGAGTGGATAATAAACCAATATTATGTGTTTCCTATCAGGCTAAAAACAGGAATGTCAACAAATACAACGTCTCAATGCCAAATAATTAAACTGAGAATATAATGAGCCGAAGGGATGAAGTTCAAATAACAAGTCTTCATGAACTTAATGACTCTTTTAAGAAGCAAAACATTGTGTTGAGCTTGTTTTAGATCAATGCCAAGCTCATTGGACACAGTTCAAAATGGGAGCTTTCTTTCCGAGGGGCTTTGAGAATGTTCAGCCATCAGGATTGACTGGTAACCGTGCCAACCAGAGGTATTTTCTAAGCTTGGTCAGCTGACAGTGTGTTTGTTACGATCCGAGCAAAGAGCAAAACGTAAGCATCATTTTAAAAGTGGATTAAATGTGCGGTTCAGAACTCTGTGCCAGACACTTCAGTAAATCCACATTAAAGCGCCATCGGAAAGTTTTCATCAGAACACAAACACAAAGACACCACGGATACTAACTGTGACACGTGTTTCACTGCCACATCACAGTCACAGAGAAAAGTGCGTCACTGAGAGGCCGTCACATTCTGGATCTTTTTTCCCACAGGACTCACTCATTGACTCACTGATTTGCAGATGTGCACATTTTGTCCATGACCTCACAGTCTTTGTGAGAGGTGTGTGAATTGTGTGCCAAACAAATCCAAATTCATTTCTACAAGTATAAATTCAATTTTACAGGTTTTCGGTTGTTTTGCACCAATCTTATTTCTCACTAGGGCTGGGCAATACAACAATATCAAATATTGCGGCTTATTATTCTGTATACATATATATATATATACTGCTTATGCATTGGTCAAATGTTATAAAGAAGAAGTTTAAACCACAACCTTCACTCAGGAGCAAAAATCTGAAATTAATAATGTGACATTTATTCTGATAATTATCAATATCGCCTGAAATGAGAAGTTTTATCTTGATATGATTTAATATAATAAGCCCTGTTGTCCAATCTCACAATCTGAGTCCTTCAGGAGAGTTCACGTGTCTTTCCTCTGAGCGCCGCTGCAGTGACGATGAGCCAGACGGACCTTTGGGTTCCCCCGTCACCTCGCCCACGATAAAATGTGTATTTTTTGTTGCGTGAGTTCAAACAGGCACTTAAACAGTAGCCGGTGAAAGTTTGAACCTCAAACACCGGTGCGGTGTATTTGCTTATTCTGATAACACGCCTGAAAAAAAATGTTGACACTCCTTTAACTAACAGATATCACCTCCACAGATATCAGGTGAAGTTTGATTAGGAAAAGATAAAATCAACTGAATACAACCTGATGTTTGTAGACAAACTACAGGCAGCGGCGTAGAACAAATTTGACTGTATTGAAGTACACATTTGATGTACTTGTACTTTATATAACTCTCTGTATTTATTGCAACTTTCCGCTTGTAATCTAATATTGTCCTTTTCGCTGCATGTGTCTGACAGAACCACCTGATGAGATGCATTTCTGCAGATCACAACACCAAACCAGCGCATGATGGTTTAATTATAATGGTGTGATTAAGTAAAATACAACACATGCACGAACGCAGCTGTAGTAATAGTACACATATGACGTCATTTTACTGTGTTTTCATACTTTCATCCAATTGGTGAGAACACTTCGGGTTTAAATGCAGGACTTGTACTTGTGTTGAGTACTTGTTCAGTACTTTTACAGAAGTACCGGATCAGAACACGTCTCTTCCATCACTGACGATCACAACAAGCGACTTTAAAAAAAAAAAAAAAAAAAAAGTAGCTCGGATGCTAAAAACATTGCGCTTGTTAGCGCTTTAGCTTGTTAGCAGCGGCTAACTCGTTTGTTTGCTAACTGGCTCGATCAGCGGGGTTTTTAATGGTCGGAAACACAGAGTCAAAGTTCGGCTAGAAGAAGAAGTTCGTGTCGGTACCTGTCGGTTCCTCCACACGGGCGAGCGAGCGTCCACACAGCCGCCGCCTGTCAGAGCTCTCTGTGGGGCAGAGGAACTAGGTGAGAGGTCGAGCAGGAAGTGAGCGGTGTCCCGCTTCTCACGCAGCTCGGCTCGGCTCGGATCGGATCGGATCGGATCGGATCGTCTCGGCTCGGCTCGGATCCACTCAGGTCAGCGTGGTCTCAAGGGCCGGAGGCTGATCCTGAGTCAGCTTCGGGAGATTGTTGAGTTTTATCTATGAGCGACACCACAGAGTTAATTCCTCTCTCTTATTTAACCAGGAGATCCAGAACCAGTGATTTTACAGCTGCACAGATTTAAAAAAAACAAAAAAAAAACAAAGATCTGAGCAACAGACAGTTTTATTATGCACATTAAAAACAGTCTGACTTGCAATTAAAGAAATAGGAACATCTTTTAATGTCTGGTTTTAACAGATGTTTGTTTTTTAGTATTTTCTTTCATGTCATCTGTCTTATATAGATAGGTACCATTCAAATAAAGTTATATCATCATCATTATTATTATTATTATTATTCCACTCTGCACGGGTTTAGACATGAACAGACCTGCTCATTATAGGAACACGTGTTTTAAAGGTCCAGTGTGTAGAATTTAGTGATATCTAGTGTTGAAGTCTCATGTTGCAGCTGAACACCCCTCACCTCACCCTCTCCTTCCAAACATGAAAAAGAACCTGTGGTAAACTTTAATTGTCATAAAAACTCAAAAGGTGTTTAGTTTGTTCAGTCTGGACTAATGTAAAAAACATGGCGGCCTCCGTAGAGAGGGTCCCCTCGATGTAAATATAAAGTATTTAAATATAAAAGGTCTTTTCTGGAGTGAAGAAAACTACAATTCATACAATTTAGATGAAACGAACTAGTGAAAACATCATGAGGATTATTCTACATTAAATGTCTGCCGATAGATCCCTTTCACCTGAATCTTGCACACTGGAGCTTTAAGTTACAGTTTGTTGAACAAATACACTCCGTCACTAGAGGAGCAGGGGCCCCGAGCCTCTGACCTTCTGATTGTAAGGTGACCTGCTCTAACTTGCTGAGCCAAGGCCGCGCTTCCTTGGGTCATGCCCCCACCCCTCCACATAATTTCATTTCATAATTTGGGTTGCATCTGAGAGAAAAATTGTTTTCTTTCTCCGTGTACTGTTAAACATGCACTTGCTTGAGTCCAGCCCACCTACAAAAGATGATTAGCAGCTTTGAGTTGCTTCCCAGATTCAAGATATAATCAGTGTGCGAACCGTCTTCACTGCTTTTGTAGGGAAGCTCCTTATGAGCTAAAATAAAGAAGTTAAATAAACGAGTTAATATACTGATTAGAATAAAATATGTATTTACAAAATAATGACACCTCGTGTACTTTATAAGTTTCATACCAATCTGTCAAATGGTAAATGTTGAAGTATGTTGACCACATAAGTGACATTTTGATCCTCTGGAAATCACACATGCCTGGTGAATGAATAGAAGTTTAACCACAGTGACAATGTTAATGGCTAAAGTTTCACTCGTACCTCTTCTCTTCGACACTTCGGGTTCAGGAGTGTTTCCGGTGTGCAGAACAGTCTTCAGTCCAAATGATGCCGACTAACATCGGAGATCTGATTTAAAAAGCTTCACTTTGACAATTATTAACCACGAACGCACAGAGCCAGACAATTTATGACAGACTGGAGTTTCATAAGGGAACTGACGATGAGAATGCAGTCACCTTTGCATCATGACCTCAGTGCACACGTGTCAGTTCAGAACAACAACATCCAGACTGTCACTTTAAAAAATGTTATCACAGCAGATTACACAAGACAAGACCTCAAATCTGATTTGTGAGGTAATCTTTAAATACTTTGCATGTAAGTTAGCTGCTCTGCACTCTTTCATTTGTTGTTCATTATTAAGTCATTCAACTGTTTTCTAATTACTGTATAAATTGTCACCATAACTACATAAAGGTACAATATTCTCAATACTTAATTCTGTTTCATTACTTTCATGACCAACACTGTGGCTGTGTGAAGACAATAAACTTACAGACTTACATGTCAAGTTTCATGGTCCATATATTTGTCCGCTCTACAGACAAACGTACGAATCAATCTGGGGAACAACCGTCAGCCTCAAGTCTGAGTGAGTTAATGTTCAACGTGATAAAATCATACTTTTATTTGCATCATAAATCCTGTTGTGTATTGAAGTACAGCGAAGATTGACCATCACACGATGTCATCCAGTTTATAGTTGAACAGAGTCTCACAGGGTCAGTGATGACGGTAAAGTTTACACACGTTAAACAATAACTACAAAAGTTGTTGCACCGGGACCAGCTAATGCTAATGGTGTCTCTCAATGATTATCAGCATCCGACAGCTCAGTTCCCCCCCGCGCCCCTCCGACATCACAAACTTTTACTGTGGACATCATCACATGCCAGCTCAGTAGACAGCGTCCAACCCTAGAGACGGACATGATGAGCAGTGAGACGTCCCTGTGCATCGTGAATCAGGCTGATGCACATTGCAGACCCTGGTTTATGTAAGGCTTATGTAACACACACATTCACGTCCACATTTTTGTAATATAATATACTTCGACCATAAATCTCTTTTTTAACTCCGCGTGTTTACCACTTAAGAAGCTGCTCAGCTCAGGATGTATTTATGTGGGTCAGAACCCTGATGATCACTCGTGCAGTGGAAAAATGAGAGCAGGTCTCCTCGGAGGCAGGTGATGGTGTAACGTCTGCTGCCTCCACTGGAAAGATATGCTCCCACCGAGAGGAACCGTGGGTCTAGAATATCAGCTCGCTCTCAGTGTGTTGGTCTGTGAAATATAACATAACAATTCCAAACTCTCCACTTAACCGAGATGTTCAGCTCCATTAACTCAACAGGTGACGGCCACGTGTATTTTCATCCTCCTTGAAATAAACTCGCCCTGTCATTTGATCCCAGGAGGAGACTAAAAACAGGTGGTCAGTCTGAAGCTCCGTGAACATGTGTTTACACCCCCTGAATTATATGTGCTACCAGCAACAAAGGCCAGACAGGCATTATGGCTGAGCCTCTGTATTAGATATTGATTTTATTTTTTTTAACTTTGTTAACCTTTTTAAATAAAATGCTGATCAACTGCATGAACAAAATTGATAGTTTAGAATTCCAAACTGGTTTCATAACCTCTCACCCCTGTCTGATTTAAGATTTAATTCATTTTATTTTATTTAATATCACAAGATAAGGCATTATTCTTTTACATTTTCAATAATTAATGGATCTCGATGAGAAACTCAGGAACATTCAGAGGACTGAGTTAATCTAAAATAACAGTATATAACAGATAAAGCTTTCAGATAAGTGGTTAAACTTATTCCTTAATCATCTAATATAACGTTTTTATAACTAGTTTGGGTTAAAAAACTGTTAAATCAGCAGCAGAATGAACCTCACAACAATAATACCCTCTTTGAGTTGTACTCTAAATTGTAATGTACTAATAACCTGATGCAATAATCTACAACAGCACAAACATCTCATTGAATCCATGTTTTCCGGCACAAGTCATCAAGTTTTATTAAAGTGTATGATTACATTATTGTTGTATTGCAGGTAATTAGATGCGAGGTTATACTCATTCCTTCAAACGTATTTGAACTGGTCATGGTTAAGAATTCACACAACTGTTAAATCGGCAGCAGAATGAATCTTACAAGAATAATACCACTATATGTTGTACTCAAATAACCTGATGATGAACAATACTACTACTAAGAAATACTACGTCCAGTTAAAATCCACGTTTCTGCAGCAAGTCATCAAGTTTCACACTAAATAATTGGACTTTTGTGTTGTTTCTCTGTTGCAGGCTTAAGACGAGCAGGGATTTATTTTTATTTTTCCAAACAGTCTGATTTAACTTTTTGAACTTGTGCATTGACACAAACTCTCTCTGGCAGGTTCGGGTGCAGACTTCAGCAGCTGCCGGCCCCCGGTGCAGACTGAATGCAGCCCTGTCAGTGACGGAGGGGCTGTAACCTGAGAGCAGCTCCGGGGGATTATTATTAGACAAAAACCCGGAGAGGCAGCGGAGACATCCAGATGTTGCGTTCGAGGCACCGACACAAGTCAGGAGGAGAACCAGCGCTCAGACACACTTTCACACACACAGAGGAGCGATGGGAGCTGGCAGCCTGGACTGAAGAAGAAGAAGAAGGAGAAGAAGAGGAGGAGGAAGAAGAGGAGAGAGGTTGTTGTTTTATCCGGGAGGAGGAAGAGGAGACGTGGAGGAGGAAACTTAACTGTGCACTTTTGGAGGTTTAAACCCGGGGGAGATGTTTGGGTTTCTGCGCCGGACTGGAGTTAAATAGTCTGCGTGAGGCTCGAGCTGAGGTTTAAACTTTTTTTTTTTTTTACTAACATTTAATAGTCGTGTGTTTGTGGACAAGCGGACGGACCATGGCTTCTCTCCACTGGCTCCTGTGCGCCGGGATGTTGTGGACACTGTGCGCAGCCTCGTACCGCGGACCGCTGCACCCGGAGATGTCCAACGGCACCTTCCATCACTACTTCGTGCCGGACGGGGACTACGAGGAGAACGACGACCCGGAGAAGTGCCAGATGTTGTTCAAGATGACCGACGAGCGAAAGTGCGGCGTCGACGAGGACCAGGACGCGGCGATACGCGACGACTTCACCATCGTGAAGCGGCAGATCGAGGACGCGGCGCGGGTGCTGGAGGGCATCGGGAAGAGCATCTCCTACGACCTGGACGGGGAGGACAGCTACGGGAAGTACCTGCGCAGGGAGACGGCGCAGATCAGCGAGGCCTTCACGAACTCCGAGAAGTCTCTGCTGGAGCTGGAGGTGAAGTTCAAGCAGAGCCAGGAGAGCGAGCTGCGGGAGGAGCACCGGCTCAACGACGACTTCCTCAGCATGATGGTGCACACGCGGGACGTGCTGAAGGACACGCTGGACGTCTCCCTGGGGCTGAGGGACAAACACGAGCTGCTGTCCCTGATCATCCGCAGCCACGGGACGAGACTGAGCAGACTCAAGAACGAGTACATGAAGTTCTGAAAAAAGTTTTATCTTAAAATTCTCAGATAGCAAAATTGTGTTGGCCCCGGATGAGGCCCACTGTCCCCGATCACCCAACCATGGCCCGAGATCGAGTTCATGGAGGTTTTACTTAAAAAGTTTCCTGACATACTTTATCGTAGTTTATTTTAGGTTCTTTCTCAAATAGCAAAAATTGTGTTGGCCCGGATGTGGCCCACGCTGTCCCCTATGAGTACACGGAGTTCGGAAATAAGTCGTCCCTACAACAAGTCTCCAGAATTTCCCCAAAAAGTTTCCCAACGTACTTTATCGTAGTTTATTTTAAAGGTTCGTTCCCTTAGAGCTAAATTGTTTTGTCCTAGATGTGTCCGACGCTGTCCCCCGATCATCTGCAGCCACGGCACAAGACCGATCAGACAGAAGAACGAGAAGTAGAAGTTCTGTAAAATATAGTTTATCGGAGTTTATTTTAGGTCCTTTCTCAAATAGCAAAGAAGTTTGGGCCCGGATTTGGCCCACGCTGTCGCCCGGCCCACATACTGCGTGGAGTGATCGCACTTGGGTGGTCCGCTGCTGTTTGCCAGACCTGGGCCACAAGTGAGCCATGGCACTACCGCATGTCGACCAAGGATGGCCCAAATTAGGTTTGCTCTATTTGGGCCGTATCCACGTTTCACATTCAGATCACACTTTGACTAGAGCACCGCATGTTGGCGAGAAAAGGCTCATATTTGTTTTTTGGTATATTTTGGCCACATTTGCTATTTTACAAGAGCCACTTTAGGCTCACATTAATTTAGTTCGGGCGACAGGACGACCAGAAGCGCTGCATTGTTACCTAAAGTGGCCTAAATCTATTTCCTTTATTCCTTCATAAATGTATTGAAAGTTTCCTGGAAAGAATTGTGCAGTTTTGTACCAGTTCCAGGAAAACAAGAGAGTTACAGGAGCTTTATTTTAGTTGTGTTGAGCTTATTGTTGACTTCCAGATGAATTTCCATGCAAAAGTAATATAATGATTTATTAAATGGCATGGCTCTTTCCAGGAAAGTTCGTAGGAGATCATTTGGAAATAAACTGGGATTTACGCCTGAAAGCTGAAACCTCACTCTATTTCATTTTTTTTTTAATTATTCCAGGTTTTATGCTTGAGTGAGACCATCGAGTGAGGTCATGGGTGAAGATTCATATCAGGGATTTAATATCAAAGCTCAAAATGTCAGTTCGCCTAAATTACAAATGAAATTAATAAACTCAACTACTTCAAACAGACATTAAACATGAGCCGTTCTTAATCTTTCCACTACATGAACCTCATTAACAAAAATCAGCCGTAATTGTGACGTTGCAAAACTTTGGGAACACGCAGTGCTGATGCTCAGCTCCACTGACCTCAGAAGTTGAAGCCATGAAACTACGTCACGCCCGAGTCGACCACGTTCAGGCACAATAAAACGGTTTGTTTTACTCTGCGGGGTGTGAGGGATTAGAGTTTCCTCTCGCCAGGCCTGCCGTTATTAGCAATAGCATAGCATAGAGCAGTATTTGCGTTTATCTAAGTGTCCACAGAGGTAAGCGTAGAGCAGCCATGTTGGACCTCATGGTCCAGGGGTCATTCTAGTTGAAATCTCCCTCTGGGAACTCTGAGACTTTGACTTCCCAGTTCAAATGGAACGCACCATTAGCAACTCACACTTTGCCAGCTGTTTAACATAGAGGGGTGGGAATACTATACTTGGAGGTTGTGCAGCAGCAAGTGACGCAGGAAACATTGTGGGAAGTATAGATTCCAGTAAATGTCAGCAAATCCTAAGTGTCCTGATCTGAACTTCACTGACATTAAGCTGATATTAAACATGCAAACAGGAACTTATCTCAGAATTTGAAGTTCATCTGCAATGAAGGGAAATTCTTAAATCAAGACTATAGAAAGACTCGTATTTTTGCATTTGCAAACTGTGATATCGGCCAAAAGAAGAGTTTTACTAACTTCTGACTTACACACGTATCCCTCAACAAGAGTTAATGAAGTAAAACTTTTGAAGAAAGGCTGATATTTAATGTCTGTTTGGTGCAGGGGCTGTTTTCGTTTTCTTTTTTTTACTTCAAAAATCAACAAACTATGTATTTACGCAGATTTTTGAGATGGAAGCTGAATTACCAACCGGGCAGCCGGGTTCAATCAACTTTCCACAAACAGATTTTTCCACCATACGAGGAGTATTGGTTTCTGGTCGTATAATGAAGCTCCATGTATAGTCTTCTTTATAGTCTGATTGGAACACAGGGGCCCCAGTGTATACATGCTGAGTGCATGAGCTAATTTGGGCCTGGGGCCCTCTGAGAGTCTAATATGAGCGTGTCTTTGCTAAACCAGAACAATGAAGGTGAATTACATTTAGTTTGTGGTGCCCACAGCATTAAATAATAAAAATGGGAAACTGAATAATTTCTGTCCAGAAACAGTCAAACTGCAAAATACTGAAGAAAGAAAACTGAACAGCATTTAGAGAAAAACAAGCCCAGCTCAACGATACACGTCTGAGGCCTTGTGGTGTCGTCGTGACGAGATCTGACAAGTTCATATGTTCTTATATCATCTTTTATGACGTGAGTGAGAAATCTCAGAGGGATATCTCAAAATCGAGTAAAGTCAAATTATCTTCATTTATGAATAAGTAAGGAAACAAGCTTATTGAGTGAACTGACCCTTTAAAAAAAAAAAAAGTCTGACCGGCATTCACATTCAAAAGTCTCACTTTCTTTCAACGTTACAGCAAAAACAAATGACATCATCCGACACGTGCACGGAGAACATTGTGATTTGTGATCAGCGTCAGTGATAATAACACACCCAGCGAACCGTAAACACACACAGAGGTCGTTACATCACTAAACATGGCCGGAAACAACAGACTCACATTGTCCCAGTCTGAGTGAACGGTGAATCAAATAAATCTCCACAAATGTCTGATTTTTTATATAACGTCTTGTTATATTTTGGACAGTTTCTGTGTCAGTGTCTTTTCTATTATGTGTTTCTGTTTTAATTCTGACCCTGGACGTTAAATAAACTGTAGTGAAGCAGCTGACCCGGTCACAGCTCCTCACATGAGCGACTATTATCACCGGTCCTCCACATGAACGTTTCAGAAGTGACAGAAGAATGTTTCCAAGTGGACACCAACAGTTTCTTTTTTTTGTTTGTTTTTGCTCTACAGGCTTGCAGACGTTGCACTACACTTTACTGTTCCGGTGCTAAAGGTTGTGACGTGGTGTAAAATGCGAGGCCTCTACTGTGCCGTACTGCACAGACAGTGTAATCTTGTAAAATGTACAGTGTGTTATTAGAAGTAAGTAAATACTGTGAGTGCCAATATCTTTATTACAGAACACGTTGATATGTATTCATTGTTTATATAAAGTTTTGAAATAGAGCAGCGTATATATATCTATTCTTGTTCACCTTCAAGATGTGTGTGACGGGTAAGACTGCAGGTCGTGTCTTCTCAAATAAAGAGGTTTGTGTTTCACGTACAGTGTTGAAGCAAAATTATTTTTCACTGAGTCAAAACGCTCGTCTTCTTCACCTTTGTCGATTTCTTTACATGGTACAATTTAATTTACATGGTGCATGCTTGATATGCTGAACACACAGGAATAAAGAGAATTAAAACAAGAGAAACATCATCAGGTCATTAAACAGAGGAAAATGTAAAGTGCATATTGTAAATCCGTCTTCCTCCATGTTAAGGGACAGGGCATGGGCCAGAGCAAGAAGTCAAAATACACGTCAGATAGAAGTTTTTGTAATTTTTGGTCGTATTTAATCACACTGATTCATGTTCAAGCTTGGTTGCTATGACAACAGGGTGAAACGTCATGATTGACAGTTGCATATTGATGAAACCACGGCTCAATCCCCTGATCGATGCTGCACAGACTCGCAGGACGTTCGCATCTGGGACATTGGGGATTGATTTCTAGACATCGGGAGGAAGCGGAGAGACGTCGTTCATCTTTATACACGGTCTATATCCCGGCCAGGCTAGCTGCAGGATGCTAACTTCACCAAAGAAGTGATTAAAAAAAGACAAAGTCAATTCGATCGGTAAACAGCTGCTAAAGTGAATGTTATCTAGTACAAACTTACAAATAGGAGTTTTAAATCGTTCCTCATGTGAAGCCGAGGATCCCCACGGAGCTGCATCCAGGCGGTCCACAGACCCGTGGTATTTAGTAGACCCACAACCACAGCGACTGCATCTTGTACTGCCACGTGCTTCAAAATTACAAGTCCCCCTTCCCCATGTTTGCTTTTTTTTTTACAAGCATCTTTCTTCTGTGAATTGCACGGAGGCTGTGGCCCCTTGATTATGAGCTCTCCGAAGGAAGAAGCTGCTGGTTGGTATTTACGAGGAGCCGAGATGTGAGGATGTTGTGCTGACGGTATTTCGAGTGGTTCCATGCAAACAGCTTGTTTTTTCCTGTCAGCGGAAAACAACATTAATTTTGTTAAAAAAAAAAAAAAAAGGTGGCGTAAACAGAAAATTTGGAAAGGAAGGAATTTAAATCCCCTGAGTATCCTCGACTGTACTCCATGAAAAAGTGCCGACTGTGCAATAATGTAGTTCAAGCACACATGGTCTGATTAAACTTCGAGCCCACAGTTTACACTCGGAACGTAAAGGACACACACACCGCTAACACACACGTGGAAGCTTTACCCCACAGTGTATTTTTCCACGAGAGCGGAAAATCCCTGGTTTTCTCATTTGTGCAAAAAGATTATTGGCACCATTAAGAGGAAAAATCATTAATGTAACCTAAAGCACATAAGATCATCTTTTATGAAACGTCTGCTTTAACTATTGTCCACAGAGGAAATAAATGATCCTGCATTGTATTTTATATTTCATTTTTCGTAATGACTAACTTTAACAGCAGAGAAACAAAAGACGTGCTCTTGTATAACTCCTTGTGCTAACGTTCATCTATTGCGTTGACATGTGTGCACCTCCACTTTTTATTAGAAGCCCTCAGCGCTAACCCCAGTAGAATAGAGTGGCAGCCCAGAGAGGCTTAATGGCGTCTGCCCTGTGTCACTATTCTGCAGAGGGAATTTCAATACGGTGTCAGATGAAAAAAAAAGAAAATGGAAAATGAAGTCATGTTATGAGTTCAGGGTGTGTCGCTCTGTCGCGGTTTGAAGTACTTCTGGCACACTGACATTAAATCATTTTGAAGAAGTGCCCTACTTACACAGGAGTAGGCGTATTTACAAAAAAAAAAAAGGTTTGGTGACCTCCCTAATTTTGCAACGAAGCTGGAACATAAAAAACACAATCCAGAGATTTTCTCCCTCTGACGAGCTCTCTGCTGTGTCAGCTCCTGAAGCATATTTCATCCTCTCTCTCTAGATATTGGATGAAAGTTGAATTCTACAACAACATGAAACATCCGTATTTAAAGGAGAGAGTTCCAGCTCGGCAAACGATCCAAGGTTGATTGAAAACGATTCAGCGATTACACTCACACAGTTCTCCCTCTGATTGCTGAGAAGCTGCTATTTGCTTTTAAATTGCTGGAACAAATACAGAGACTGTATTGTTATTGGAAACCTTGTTAGTTAGCTCATATATTTAAGAGCACAGTTATTGGGTCTACTTATTGCCTCATTTCTGGAAGGTGTTGAGTGTGAGAGAGCGAAATACGAAGGCAGAGAAGGTGAAATCAGTCTAAGAGGCGGCTCTGTGTTCAGAACAGATGTTGGCTCTCGGGGAGGAAGAATGTCCAGAAGTGAGCCGGCAGGTCGATAACGCCAGCGATCAAATCTCCCAGACACGAGTCTCTGTGGGTGAATGTACAGAGTATATGTAGTAAATTGAATAGATATGTTAAAATAAACATTTCTTTTGGAATTGTTAAGCTCATGGTGACACAAGGTTGTTCCTAATATTTACACCCCTCAGTCAAACTAGTCAGTGTCAACGACACTCTGACTTTATGAGATGAATTCACTTTTCTGCACTTCATCCAGCTCCTGCACTGAAAAATAAACTAACAACTAAATTAACTTCTTTCGAACCAAAGTGAGCAGCTGCAGCTTTATCTCACGATTTCGAGTTAATAAGAGTTAATAATAAGAGTCGCTCAGTTTGAGTAGAAATAGGTTTATATTCATATGTTGATATGTTCGTCTCTTTGCATGTTGGTAAAATGAACTGATTTGATTGAAACATGGTGGAAGGAGCCAAAAAAAAGAGCTCATTACATTTTTGTTGTGGATCCAAACAAATGATGTGGAAGCAAGATTTGTTCTTCACTTTCTTTAACAGTGCGAGACAGGGAATTTCTTTTATTCCCAGGGAATAATTCATGCATCTTGATTTTATTTTTTAAATTTGGCATATTTAGAGGACTGATATGTTTGAGTCTGTGCAATTTGGTGCAGCTTGATTAAATAAAATGTTGCATGTGAGTGACATTTAATCTACACAATCGATGCCAGTGGGTCTCAAAAAGCTGCGTTGAAATATACAACATAAACAATAAAGTTTGACAAACTCAATGACACGTATTCTCGCGTGTCATTGAGTTTAAATGGGTCATATCATCTGACTTATACTCAGGCACAGAGTATATTTGTGTGTATACTTGGAAAAGTCTGTGTGCAAGGCTGCAGCAAAATTCCCGCCACACTCACTCACACAATTACACATAACAGAAAATCTCCCATGAAAATGTTTCTGGCTGCTCTTCAGCTCACTTTGGGCCCTTATGTCACAGTTTACTTCAAATTATATCCAGGCGCCACTCGCTGCAACGCTCCCACAAGCCTCTGGCAGTGAGACGATGACCCAGCGTGCCCAGCGGCTGCAGCACGGTGGCAGTGACATCATACATCATGCAGACCTTCAAGAGTTTGCTTGTGCAGCAGCTCAGACCCGTTAAAATCTAACACAAAGAGAAATTCCAATATTCCTTCTTATCGTTTTTCATTATCAGTTGTTGCTCCTCGTCAGGGAATCTATTGTATTTCCTGACAGATTCCGGGGGGGGGGGGGTTAGAAGATGCATTGCCTTGTCTGCGGCTCCTCAAACGATGAATCTGAAAAGCCAGAAGTCCTTTGTATCCGTAAAGTTTGCGATGCTATCATTTCTTTTTGTGTGTCTGAATCTGTGTCTCTGTTTCAGGCTGTGTTTCTGCGGCGGCTCTCACAAGTGTCTCTTCTTACAGCTGCAACTCATTCTGACCGCCGACAACAGAACCTCTGCACAGCAGGCTCATATAAATGTAATATCATAATCTTAATTCCCATCTCAACAGATGCGTAGGCGTGGGAGGGGGGGGTCGCCACTCCTTCCTTTAGCGCCATCCGCAGGTCAAAAATATCTCAATATATAAAAATGGATCGGCTCAAATTGTGACTCAGACATTCATTGTTCTCTGAAGATGTGTCCCACTGAACCTTTGTGATCCCCTGACTTTGCTTGTAAAGTCGATTACTGTAAATACATTTCCCTCTCAGGATGAAACACAATCAATTAGCTAACCCCTCTAGCTTTTAGCCCTTTCGTTAATGAACAAATGCCTGCAGAGATAATGACATTAGCCTCAGCTGTAGTCGACTTTGTGTTCAATGCTAATCGGCAAATATTTGCGTTCTTACTCCCTGAACCTGCTGAACATCTACATGTCACCATCTGATGCTACCGCTGAGTCAGGGGTGTAAGTGCAGCCTCACAGAACCTCCAGTTCAACATTGACACAGCGCTGAGTCAATATACAATAAAATACACAACCTCTACGAACAACGTCTGATCAGAATATCTCTAAATTAATAAAAGAACACACTAATGTACATTGCAGATTTATCATCATTAGTCAATTTTCATTTCTTTGCTTTTTTAATTGGTGTTTGTTTCCAGAGATGTTTTGTTATGATGTAATACAGTTTATATGATTTAAATTTTATGTTTTTTTAATTTTATGTTCTTCTAGTCTAGATTATGTAATTATAATATATTTTACTATGCTAGCTGCTGCCCGCTTTAACTTTACTTACAGCTCATTTACTCCACTTTTAGTTCTTCTCTGTCTCGCTCTCTCTCTCTCTCTCCTTCTGTCCTCTCCCGTCTTCTCCTGCGGCAGCTGCTCAGTCTCACAGTGCCGCCCCCCCCCTCCCCTAATGAAGTTATTTCTCTTCAGCCTGAGATAATGGCCCAAGAACAAATCTATTTTAATGCACGCTCAATGCCCGTGTCATTACAAAAGACATTTCAGAACGGTTGGTAATTCAGTTTTACTTGAAAAAAAAAAAGAAGTGTAATATATCTATTGTGGGTTTTTTTTTTCTCACTGCGTGTGAGCCTCATGTCTCAAATGTGCTGATGTGGATCCAGTTTTAAACTCAATTTTTTTTAACTCTACATCGGGGATGTTTATTTCTTTCTGCACGTCTGGTTTTCAAATCGTTAATTACCATCCCCCGAGGGACGTGCAGGATTAAAATAAGACATTTACTGGAAT